TGAATTATTTGTTAATGTGATTTGGTTTTTAAATAGACGAAAAACCCACATGGTTACGAGGTAAAATTAATAACTTATATTTCTTTATGTTTTTTGATAAAATTTTTTTTTATTAATTTTTGTTTGGATTTTTACAGTGTCCAACCCATTTTTTACGATGGTAATCTTGTAGAGAGCAATTAATTCAATATTTTTAGTTGATACAATTATATATTGAAAATTAAAATTCGTTACTTTTAATATTTATAGTCATGTTTATTTATTTATAGTTACGTTTGTTATTAACGTTAATAAAAATACTTTCTAGAATTATAACTATTCAATAAACGAAGTACATGTAATTATGGAAATTATACATACCAATACTAAATTTAGTATTATAATGTAAAGCCAAAGATGTAAAAATCTTGCTGAATTAAAATACAGTCAGAACTCGATTCGATCGGTCATCGCTAGTCGCGTTCTGGATACAGTCGTCCCCTCTATAGTCACTATAAATACGACCATTAAATAAAAACCCTATCGCTACCTCCCTATAGTCACACCCATAATCGGAGGTATAATACGTACGTATTTCCATCAATAACGATAACGAATCTAAATACGTATAAATCAATGTCATTCATCATCAAGGGATACGTACATGCACATACGTACATAAACCAATTAAAAATATCACTCATACCAATGTCCAATTCTTACAAAAATAACTTTAGAAGAAACTTACTAAAAATGAAAATTCGTTGCTTCCAAACTACCTACTTGTCTCTTTGTAATTATTATATATATATATATAATAACTTCACAATGGAGATACATGTATAGTTTTATCATTCAAACATTAATAGGAAGTGCAGTCCAATAATGAAAGCTCAATAAGGAGTTATCATGTGTTTTATTTAATAATAGTACGTACTGCCGCTCCGCAATACAATCAACAACCAAACTCATACCATAATTCAAGAATTTGCGGGAGGGATAATAATAGATTAGAAAACAGAAAAATAAAAATACATGTAAAATCCCGCAAAACTTGAAAAAAACTCGTTTATATGCAACTACTACATGAAAAGGTGTTGCCGCTCCGCAACACAAACAACTTCCGCTCGTACCGTGAAATAATAATCAAGAAACAGAAAAAAAATAACTACCAAGAAAGTGTAAATATTCAAATCAAAAATAAATGTTTGTATTCTCTATTAACAATGGAATAAGGATGTTTGTGGTTTGAAAATATTGATAATAAAGATAGGATTATTATCGTTAATAGTGTGCGTGTTTCTTCCAGATAAAAGAAAAGTATTTACTTCTAATAACTATATTTATATAATGTGTATAAGTGTAAGTTTATAAGTTAAATAAGTGATGAGGGAATGCAAATAAGTAAAAATGAAGGGGAAAAAATATGTAAGGACAAAAAATTAAAAGGGGGGAGGTAATACTAATAAAAGTATATATTTCGTCTTTTTTTACATAATTGAGACATTTGTGTCATTTCCTTGATGAACAGTTTCTTCCTTGACGGTCTTCGTTTCCCCTGTTCTCGTGTTAACAGTGATTAATCTATCCACGTGATAATAAGCCAATTCACCCAATTCAGCTTCATCCAATCCTATTATTTCGGCTTCATGATCAGAGCGAAGAGAACAGTATGGAATTTTATCCATGACAAATAATATTATAATGGTAACACCAAAAGAATAACTTGCTCCAGCTGCTGAATCGGCGAGTTGATATGCTAACTGAATCCAATTGCCATCCAATCCACCAAAACCATCGGGGTGACGAGGATCGGGACCATCAAGAGTGGCGTATTTAGTTTGTGCAAAGATACCTGTTAATAAATTTCCGACAACACCACCAATACCGTGAACCGCAAACACATCAAGGGCATCATCGAAATCTAACCAATGCTTGACTTTTACGGCCAAATTACACGCAAGCCCGCCAAGAAAACCGAATAAAACTGCAGATGAAGGACCGACGAAACCAGAGCCAGGAGTGATCGCGACTAAACCAGCAACTGCACCTGAACAGAAGCCGAGTGCAGATAATTTACGTTCAAGTCGATAATCTAACAACATCCAAGTTAGACCACCAACCGCAGCTGACAAATTTGTAACAACACAGGCCATAGCAGCGTGAAGACTTCCAGCTAATGCTGAACCACCATTGAAACCAAACCATCCAAACCAAAGTAAAGCAGTTCCCAATACGACATTAGCGATATTGTGTGGTTTGAATTCATCTGTTCCATGTCCATGACGTTTTCCGACAACGAGACAATAGGCGAGTGCAGCGAAACCAGATGAAATATGGACAGGCGTACCGCCAGCAAAGTCAAGACCACCCATCTTAAAAGACCATCCTTCTGCGGACCAAGTCCAACATGCGATTGGATCATAAACGACAGTTGACCAAATAAAGATAAATATAATTGCCGGCAAAAGTCTGCCACGTTCTGCTGCTGAACCGATCGCCAAAGCTGGTGTGATAGCGGCGAACATACATTGATAGACAGCGAATACAAGATCTGGAATTGTAGTACTACCGACTGATGGCTGATCTCCAACCTTATTGAAGAAAGCATTCTCCAAATTGCCAATGAATCTACTACCTCCTTTACTGAAAGTTAAACTATAACCCCAAATCCACCACTAATAATTCAATAATATAAAATTATATAAACATATGTAAATTGGTAAATCTCAACAAAAACAACGTAAATAAATTTTTACCTGAAATGAAACAACAGCAACCGACAAAACACTCAACATAATAAGTGATAATGCATTTTTGCTACGTGCCATTCCACTATAAAAATAACCGACACCTGGTATCATAAGCCATACGAGTGCGGTACTAACTAATGTATATGCAATATCACCATGGTCGTATTTCGGTGGATCTGTTGATGTGGAATCTGATGCGTCTGTTGTATTTGACATTTTTTTCTGCGATGATAGTTATAATTTTTATGTTAAGCAAGAGAGTGAGGGTAAAATTGTTATATATACCACCAACAGTACGTTAGTAATTGAAAATATTAACGTATAATAGTAGTTATTGTGTGTGGTTAAGGAAAATTTGAATGGTCATTTTTATACTTTTTCCCTCGCTGTGATTATAAATTAAAAATAGACTGTTTTTTACAATAGATAAAATAAAAAAAAGGTGATGTGTGATTGTGACATATCGGATATTCAACAAGTATATCAATATATATACATGTATATATTGATATTACATGTTTGACGTACCAAATATTTTGTATTCAAATGTATACTTCAATGGAAAAAGATAAATCGGATAGTGAGATAAATAGATAATCGAAATTTCTTAGATCTGAACTCCCGAAAGTGGTAAACAATTATGATCCACACCGATCGAGGATTATCTCCATAACGAGACTATTATGTTAGTATCTCCGATTCTCTTATTCAACAATACGCGCGAGTATACGTAATAATAACCAAACATTCAAAGTAAGGGACACGTGTACAATTATTATACTGTCGAACCTCATTATAACGGCTGCATGGTCTATAACGGATACATATGTCTTATATGGCGGCCGTTGTAAAGAGGTTTGACTTTATTGAAAATTTTGCACGCAGGGTTTACACGTTTAATTTTCTTCAATAAAAATTTGGGCCAAAAGATGAATTTCATGCAGGATAAACATTTTGTTCATTTACATTGTTGGGAATTAATTATTAAAGCTGTTATTCGTTTCACGTGCTTATCGATACAAAAGTCAAATTTTCATTCATCGGGGAAATGCCCGCTAAAAACTTGTCAATTTAATGAACTATTCGTAGAAAATTTAGGTCGTGCAATAATGAATACTCCAAATTTTATTTATCGTTATGTAAGATTCATGCACGTAGATAGTAGAATTTCACAGTCTCGTGGTTTCTAAGTTTGGGTGATTTTCGTGATTAAGCACAGTTCTTTTTCAAGAAATTATTTTCTTTTTGTATTTGTCACATTTGCATATTCTTTATCTCGTTGTACATATCAAAAATAATAGAGAAAGAATTGGAAATACAAGTTCGCTATCAAGTATTACAGGTAACCTCATCCTTCCGATATTGTCCATAATCATTGTCACTCGTATTACATACGTATGCCAAAGATATGCCAAAGTCCACAAATACACATATAGTTAACCTGAAATATTAAACGTCGAAGATTATCCAATGCGCCTTAGAATGAAGAATGATGGAAAGTGTGCTTTATTTCTTTGATTTGAACAAACCAAGACACAAACTTTACTATTTTTTTTTGTTATAGCTGTCAAGGGATAAGTAATTCTATTATTTATGCAATGTATATACACATGTATGTTCATTTATATTGACTGAAAATTTAGATGAATTTTTCACTTTTCTGCCTATCTTTATGAAATATAGGAAATGTATCGTTATCAAAAATTCTTGGATTATCTAAGCAACACACTGACTATCGCTATCGCTATTGGTACGTAATAATTTTCTTATCTTGGATTCACAGGAAATTAAATATCGATATGCACCACTGATAACAAGATTTACTTTATTGACTTTATTGACAGGAAGATGATAACGATAAAGATAAAGTTGGTGTATTAAAAATTATGTTTGCACGTGCTCAATCAAAATAAATGTTTCTTCCTTATTTATTTATATGTACGAAATACAGTACAACTATAGATAACAAACTTTATCGTTATACCAATACTAAATAAAAACTTTAAATTTTGATTATCGTTATACAGAAATGATACACAAACAATCTACTTTCTTTCCTTTAGACAGACGTTATCGTTATCCTATTTTTTTCTATTATCTTGTCAAAAAGTCTCTCGTGATGATTACTTTTGAAGAAAATAGTTTCTGAATCATATGAATAGTCTAATGGCATTTAATCGAATATCCGGGCGCATTCATTTGATGATAAACGAAGTCTACACTAACAACGAAGATGCATCAAATTTATTATAGCAATGTAATTATTACAGAGGTTGAGTTATGGAAAATTATTGAAACATAGGTTACGAGCAATAAATCTATTTATTTAATTGGTAAATTGATAAGTTCCGCTATTTATTATAGGTACTATACGAAACACGACGTGCGGAAATTTTTAATTTATAGAATAGGATTTTAATAAATAACAATAATAATCTTTAATGAAGAGTTAAATGCATGATGGCCCATAAGATGAGGCAAATAAAAACACGCATGCACGTCGGAATATTTTTTCTTTTTTGTTTAAAACAAATTACAACTGTAATGTGTGATATTAAGTAGCAAAGATTCACGAAAGTCTTTAATTAGTCTTTTAATTACTTTTTATACTAATTAATAACTCTCAAGTACAAATTACAACCCTAAAATAAATTTTCATTTAGAAGTCTGATTGGTAGTTTCGACGATTTTTCTTGCTCTTCATGATTCGTCCGTGGGCATAAATGGTGTGCTTTTTCTAGAGAAATACATATGCTAGTCGAAATCACACAAAAATTAAAAAATTATTAATAAAGTGCTCTTAGTAAACTAACATCAGCAAAATTAGAGTAAATTAAAAAAAAATTCAAGGTAACATCGGTCAGAAATGAGCATAATTTAGTAAATGTTAGTACGTACGTACTGTATACTAACATTCAACAAAACATGACAAAATCAACATAATTTAGAAAATACGCATTTAACTTTGGACTAAATTCGCCCAGATTTATTATTAGTATGTAAAATTTTTTGCCTAAATTTTCAGAAATTATGTGTTTGTCTATAACAAATGGTTTATATATTCAGCAAATTTAATATATAAAAATTTAGTTTAGGCAAAGTTCAATTGATTTTAGTAACTTTGAAAAAAATATTTAAAATTAAATTTTTTAAAGTTACTAGTGAAATCACCAGTGAGCTTTATCAATAATGCCACAATTCAATGATGAGAATATTAGTAAAATTAAGAGTTCTATAATTAATATCTTTTGATATAAACTTTGTCAACCTCTAACTATCGATTCATTTGGTTTTGAGCATAATTAAGACACCAACTTCCTGACATAGATGATTCTTTTTAACAAACGACGATTATGTAACGTTGGGGTATTCGGTCCCACTATGTAGATCAAATTTATGTATAGCGATAGTCTCATATCGATATGAAAATGATTAGACCAAATTTTCGTGTAACATATAATCATTATACGTGCAGTACCCCTAAAAAGTAACGCCCGAGTTCATTTCTTTCTTCGACTTTTGAACATACACTGGGCGAAATTTTTTGGCTGTAAATATAACACACACCGCCTCCAGTTGACCGACTTTGACAAGAGTAAAATGGGTAATTTGGATCGGGTTTTGAGTGCCGAACAAGTTGCAAGAAAAATGATCCGTGACTCGATGACGGGATAATGATCTCTTGCCGAATACAAGAGAAATAGGAAAAAAGAAAATTTACCAGGGTCTGGAAGGTCACAAGCTCGTAACAAGCAAGAAAAAGAATGCACATTTACAAGAAGCCAAAAAAGACAACCTGAGCCACTTCGTGACATTGTCAACAAAAAATCTTTGCCCGAAGATTCTTTAAAGTAATTTCATCCTTTTTCATAATATATTATGCTCATTAATATGGCGTTTCAGCTTAACTCTAACTCTAACCCTAATTCTAAAAAGATCACGAAATAGGAATATTAATGATTATGAACCAATTAACGTATTCCCCCAGACCTGGCTTCATAGAAAACATCTAGAAACCATTGTAAAACAATATTCTAAAGTGTAAAAGCTTTTCAAAAATTGTGAACAGGTTCTGAAGAAAGTGTAGTCAAAATTTAATGTGTTAGTTTGGGGGTAGGATGTGAGCTCGATGCCGTAAGGAATCGAGGTGATATTGAAGCCATATAGTGGGTAATGTATTAGTTAATGGTAATAAAAATTTTTATGTATATAAAGCAGAAATGAAATAAATCGAAAATTTTCATTTTTTAAAAAAATCGGGCGATACTTTTTGGTGGTACTGTACATGAATGGAAAAAATATTTGTCTATGTCACAGCTTCTTTTGGAAGCGACCCCCTCCAAAGGGATCTAACCAGGCAGGCACGTGTGTTTAGTATATATTTTATAGAACACGCACATGACTCATTTTTCGATATCCTCACTTTTTTATAGCCAAAGTCTCATCCACGTTGATATCGTCCTTTAACACAATTACCTTGCAAAGTTCAGCATCATCAGTTGGTAGACATGATGTGATTCAATTTTGTTGCTGTAGAGACTATTCCATAGGATAATGGATGCTTCGTCAGCCTTGCATTGTCTACAATATAATCCAATGTTAGTATGACTTATAAAATAAAAAAGAAAAGCACTTTAACATACTTAGCAAGAGCTTTCCATAATGCATATTTTTGACACCGCCTGATTCTGTTTCTCTTCTGTCACACAAATGATTTCTTCTGCGAGGTTTTTTCATCGCGTAGCCCATATTTAAGATTGTTAAGATATATTCGTACTCATTTCTACCAACTGTTCTCAATCCTGGCTTTATATCGAGTAGTACATCGTCATCCACTGCATTGTCATCGATTTTATACTTCTTTAGATCTTGATGAATGTGAAAACCTAGCTGCTATGATGCAATAAAAATTGTGATAGAAAAGAATGAATAATTTTCATACTTGCTCATTTGAACTCACGAGCTTGCTGGCTCGTGAGGAGCACTAATAGGGATTTTACGGGTGCAGCAAAGACTAATTTTGTAAACCAGTCTGAGGTCCATTTAAGAATGCTATGGACGACATACGTAATGTTTTTGTATCACATAATAATATATAGAAATTATTATTGTTTTATATAATGAAATTAACGTTAATCTTGAAATGAATTAATTTAAGTTTGGACCAGTCTGAAGCCTGTACTGGTTTTTTTTAACCAGTTCTATTGATCAGTAGAATGTCAATGATTTGGTTTGCAAATTTAAACTAAATCATATATTTCAAATTATTTTATAAAATTTTTAATCTAGCTGGTTTTTAAAAGAGTGTGGCTTTATGTGACATGACTATAATAGAGAAGGATTTGTAATTTATCATTTTTTATTCACATACAAAGTTAATTCATTTTTTTTAGAAATATATAAGATAATAATACAATCAGTTTCATTAAACTAAAACACTATTTAGATTGAATTGATTTCATGAAATAATAATACAAATCAATTCCATTAAACTAAAACCCTAATTAGATTGAATTGATTCCAGAAATAATTATAATATAAACCTGTCTCAATTTATTCAGGAACAATTCTAGTAAATCTGCTGAATTTACTAAATAAACTGTATTTTTTAAAACTTCCTGATCACTTTGATTTAATGGAGCTGATTGTGTATTGAAAAAACTTTTTAATAGAAATTAAAAAAAATAAAAAGTATCAGCCTGGACACACTTTTATAGATATAATATATTTTATTTTAATAATAAGACTGTTAAATAAAATCTATATATTTTTACTACTTTGATATCTTATTACATTTTTAGGGTAACTTCTATTATAAAGAGAAGGGGATAATATACCAATATTTTACAAAACACCAAACCAAAATATAAAATCCCAAAATATTAACAAAAAACTATTATACATATATTCATTTTGCTTAAATTAGACTATTAAAATTCACAATCAAACGATTCGCGTCAACTTATAATTAAAGTCATCTTTGTCACCTGGAGAGGACGACCTTAAAGAATCTAGAGCTAATAATGGTGTTTGCGGTGGAGATTTATGAGGATTTGAGTTTGTACTTAGGATACGTGCCGGTCGATTGATATTATTTGCCGCCGTATAAAATGGTGATGATGGTGAAAATGGTGATAATGGTGATGATAGTGTAGATCGAACTTTTGATGGCGGTGTTGGTGCGTAATAGCAACATGGGAGAAAGATTGTGGGTGATTTTGTTGTTCCAAATATCAAGAATAAAACAATTCCTCTGAAAAAGTAACAAAAAAGTCGAAATTTTACCAAAAAATCCATAATAAAATTTTTATTGTGCTAAAGCGAGCCGGTAACTAAAGTACATGTGATACATGTATAACTTTAGTGTACAAATTTAGAGAAGCCTCTAAATCCTCGCGATCTGCCGTCTATATAACAAATTCTTAAATAAAAAACCAATATATATATATATATTTACTGTACACTTCCTGAATAATCGGCGGGTGTCAGTTCATTCGGACTTGGTTGACCGAATCTAGCTCGATATATCGTAACTGGCAATAAGGAAAACATCAGGATTCCGATGTAGACCAGACTACATGTGACAAGTCTAGCTGCTTGTCCTAATTTTATTGCAGTGCCTCGAGTTTGTTTTTGTGAAAATCGTCGCCAATGAATAAATAATATTATAGTTGCATGAACTTTGAAAATATTTAATTTAGAATATTTTGATATTTGAATTCAACAAAAACCTTGAACAAAAGAAATAAATAATTACATGCTAAAATCGTGGCGAAGAAAGACAATATCGACATTAATATCAAGAATTCCAACCAATTATTGTAAGTCGAAGGAAATCGACAATACAATTTATTGACTTCTGTATCCCAATGTTCATGCTCACTGTCCAAAATCCATTGTATAATCGACCGTACGATCGTCAACAGCCAAACAACACCGGAAATATACTGTCCATAATTTTGCTCAATGTCTGTGTTATTTTTTACAAGAGCAAACCATAAATAAAAAATCAAGATCGCGGGTAGCACTTGAAATGGAATCATGAAAAACGACGCGACTTTTTGTTGTATTATACAAATAGATGTATCATAGGCACGTTGTTGTATTTCGGTGCCGTAGACAAGTAGTGTAGGTAAACCGGACACTTGCTCAAAGAATGTGCAAACGCATATCTGAAATAGTGTCCATTTTGTAAAGTAGGCTTTGGATTTGAGAATTGTAGTAATTAAAAAGACTAACAGAAGTACATTTAATAGTTGTAACAACATATAGAGGAATTGAAGACCTGTGTACGACGGCATTGAAATATGTATATGAATTTTTTGATGACTGGATATAATAAAAATTATTATTTTTAAGGAATGTGTTATTATTAGCACGCAATAAAAGAATAATTATCTTTGCTGTCAAGCTGTTCTTGATTTATTTATTTATTTATTTACTTATTTAATTTTAATTCAACGATAACGAGAACGATGCTCGATCGCATAACAGAGTTATCGTTATTATTATTCACTTGTCTAACTAAAGGAAAGGAAAGGAAAGGAATTTAGAAATAGTTTATTAAAGCTGAACGTAACTGTTCGCGTCATAAAGGGCGAAAAGAATGAGATCTCGAAGTGCCAGCTCTTCATTGTTTATATGATTCTTCTTTGTCTAGTTTCACGACATATTTGAGCACGAAGTAGTCAGGGATACAAAACTTAAATCAGGTACACTTTTGCAAATACGCATCATCTTCAAATTGACAAAGCATGTAGTGGATCGCGCGCTCATCTGTTTGTTGATTGACAGTTTGATACCCATCTACTAGGCTACTACAGAAATAATTGAAACCATAGTCGGACTGGTTTTGGTAACTTTCTGTTATAAAAGAAGAGAATTAAAAATTCAAATGGTAAAATAAGTTTATCTATTAACCAATCAAATCATCTTTACCCTATTTGGGTAAAAATCTATTAATGCGCTCGTGTACGCCATTGACGTACTTTACTCTATAGACTCGGGATCGGAGAAGTTACCAAACAGATTGCGAGAAACAACGACAAATCGATCTTTAATTATTATTTCATTCATTATTTGATCACATATAGTTAGCTTGTGGATTTGCACACATAATAATAACGATAATGAAAGGATAACGATAAACAAACAGCTGATAGTTCCTATACATTTTTTCTTTTGCACAACCTGTAGAATAATAAAAGAGTACGAGAATCGAAAAACCTGATTTTCCAATAATAATTATCCGATCTGAGAGAGATAAATTGAACATGATTATTCTTTTTACTGATTAATCTTATTAATCTTATCGTCGTCCATCAGGAAGTCAGGAAGCATTTAATAATAATCGTCGTTAGGTATTAGGTAAGAGATCCCAGAATTTTTTTATATTTCTCATTGAATTTCGTGTACGCGCGCGTAATTGGAAATTTTAGGAACTCCGTGGTATCCTGATGCAAGTACAGTTTATTGGGCTTATGCGCCATCTTGCATCTATGTTTTCAAGAATAATTAAATACACGCGCGTGTATATACGCTTCCCACCCATAGTGAAATCATCTTTTTTTATATGTTATTTACTTTAAAAGTAATGTTTTCATAAAATATCACATTCAGCCAAGTATCGCATCATTCTTATTGTTCGAGAAAATCCCATTCAGCCAAGAATCACATCATTGTGGGAAAATATATGGAACGATTTAGTAAGAGATTTCCCGATTTTTTTCCCCCAGAAACATTATCATTTATAATGTAAAGAGTAGTTACGTACTCTGATTATTAATGTGATGAATATATTATTTGTTTACGTAGCGGTAGCAATTAAGTAATGTTTGACATGGTAAAAAATCTCATTGAGTTTCAGGATATCATTTTGTTGTTTCCAAACCTATATAACAATAAAGATTCATTCATTTACTGTATCTCATTTAAACACTTTGTCATAACATAAACAATACACAAATCGATGTCAATATGTATTATAAGAAGTGCGACTATTAGAGATATTAGTCATGTATTAGGTACTATAAATACGTATATCGATATCATTTTGAAACACTCATGTTCCACGACTGCAAAATTAACGTGCTTTCCAAAAACAGACCATGATCATAATGATAATCGTTAGTCTGACGACATAAATTGTCATCCACGCGAAAATCCTTCCCAGATAAACTTGAAGCGACATCGGATATTAAATTCTTGCATATGATTCCAAAGATGTCATTTTCAATAGAAAATTTGCCTAGACAATACTGATCCATATTATTTAATCTTTAACACGGCTGTCGCGTTTTTATGGTCGCACAATCTGCAGGTGTAAATTCATCACGACTACCTCGAACCATTCATACATACAGATCATTTATTATATAACGATGCATCAAATATTTGTAAAACTGTTCAAGCAGAATATTCGCAAAATGCGTTAACTTTACCTGGATAAAAAGGAAATCAATTATATTTTTTTTTTGCATGAAATGAATATTTAGTTTCTGTTACTAGAAATACATATGTGAAATTCTTAAATCCAGCGAATTTCGGTAAAAGGATATCTGACATTGATTCCAAAATTGTTACAAATCCACGATAAGAATTCAATCACTGCGGATTCCTGGTCTTTTGAAGAAAAGTTGATGACTAGTAGAAGTAAATCTTTGAAGAAATATATACATCTTTTTATTGAATATTGCTGTGTTCCTTCTATTAATGGGTCTTGAAATTTCTATTTTTGTTTATAAGTTATATATATATATAATACACTTTATATTTCTATTTTTCTTATTATATAACAAAATAGATTTTCACCATACTATCACCCTTTTTTTTGTTGATTAACGATTATATATTTTATTTTGCTTTTTATCATCTCTCTAATGGGAATTCCTATCCCTAAATATATAGAGAGATGATAAAAACCAAACTGAGATATAATAAAGAAAAAAATGTAGATTATTTACTCTGAACTTCCGTTAATTCACAAAAAACAAAGGTAACCAGCAAAATTTAAATAATTATCTGATCGGGTTACAAACAGCGATAAACAATTACAAATAACGACAATTATATCATAAACTGGTGACAATTTGATGCATTATCAGATGAACAGCAATTCCCACAAATCGACGAAATCTTCATATTCTCGCCAGCCATCTGGAACTAAGCAATCTTATTATTTGGATTTTGCCACCAATCCAAAATTAATGAATTTACTATAAAACAATTTCATTGGCTAAGATTTATGAAGTATACAAATCGAGTACAAATACGTTTTAAAATTAAAGGGTGATTCACCGCTCGACTAGACAAAATGAAATGTGGGTTTCCTTTATATAAAATGTTTTATTGAAAATAGACTTTCGAGATTTATTAATTTATTCACGCGAATTGCAGTTAGAGTGAGAAACCTGAGAATCTGAGAATTTAGCGATATATATATATCAAACTATTAGATAGATTTGTGAGATAAAAGATAAATACTACGTTCGTTTTAATTCCCGTGTTATATATTTACGTCAACCATTATATATATTAACAGAAATGACACGAAAATAAAAACGAATACATAAAAATGTAGTATTTTTAATAGAAAATTTTCAAAGTCTTATTATTAAATCAGAAATTTCCGGTAACTTTGGGACATGATATCTCATGATTCACTGATCCAATCCGGACAAAAAATACCGCCATTCGATTCGTCAAGACTAGACGAATCGAATGGTGATATTATTGGACCCGTGAATCATGAGATATCATGTCTCAAAGTTACTGGACAAATTTTTTTATTTTAAAAAATGGATTAATATCTCATGACTCACTGAACCAATTGGATAAAAATAACGTGGAATTTGGCCTAGTGGGTCATGAGATATCATACTTTAAATTAAGTGTTCCAAATTAAAATAAAAAATATACCATTCGATCGTCTTAGTCTTGACGAATCGAATGGCGGTATTTTCATCCCGATTGAACCTGTAGATCACGTCCAATAATTACTGGATCAATTTTTTACATTTTTTGCACAAAATTAAAATGAATGCATTATTTCTAAGCATACCATCATTAAATTCACCTAGTTTTGGCGAATTCAATGGTAGCAATTTTTACAAAAATGGTCTGGTAATTCATCATGTTTCAAAGTTGCTGAATTGGGTTTGATTTTTTGAAAAAAACTTGTCTAGCTTGTCCTGCGGATCACGAGATATCACATCTTTTTTTCATTTTTAATCCGGAAATTTTATAACTAAACCTGTGGTTTTCCGGAACTAAAAAAACTGGATTTTTGTCTGCCTATTTTTTTTACAAGGGTATATGCTAAATATATAATTATTTGTTTGAAATTGTTAAGCAAAAAAATTTGTATTAGAACTATTATTTTATTTGATTGAATATGGTGCATAACATCTAAAGTCATCAAATTTTGTATTTTATAAAATGTATAAACTTCTTTACTAGAAGTAAATACAAAATTTAATCCGTGAATATGATAGAATAGGCCTTTTCTGAGCATATTTACGGATTAAATTTTGTATTACTTCTTAGTATAAAAACTTTAGATGTTATGCACCATAGTTAATTTTAATATTATATTTTTCTTTTAAAATAAATAGATTAAATATTTTTAAAATAATAATGAATTCTTTTTGGATCCACTTTCGAAACCGCTCTAGATTATGAAAAGTATTTAGTCAATTAATTCTTTCTTTAATTTTTTAAAATAATAATTATTCTATATTTAGTAATGAAAATTACTAAAGCTCATAAGTGATAATTGTCAAATGAACATAGTAATACAATTGGGATAGAATAAGGATAGGGGCTAGTATGAGAATATGATTAGAAAAATAAACCACTGGTTTAACACACCTACCACTGGTAACGATAATATTATTTTTGGAAATAGAAAATTCTACTTATGATAAATGTCAGACTGAATTAATGCATCCTGAAAAAAACAAAAGTCTATACAATCAAAGCTCTATATAACAATGGATCGGCTCAAGCTCAAAAAATTCGTTATAAACAAATGCTTTTTATTGTAGTCGGGGAATTTTTCAAAAGTTCATAAATAACAAGATCTCGTTATATAGAACTTTGACTGTATTCTTCACATAGGTTTTTTGGTAATTATATTTATATTATGTTGATTATAAGAAAATTCTTCCTATGATAAAATCGATATAAAACTTGAATTTACGTAATCTTGAGAAAATTCATACGGCACTGGTATTTTAAAGAAAATATCTCATTTGTTTTTGTAAAGCAAGTTTCTATACTGAGAAAGAAAACAATTTTCGGTATTGATAAAAAAATTTAGAATCGTGCTAATAAAGTTTGTATGCGTTTGGTTAGGGAATAACATATAAAATAATTTGTGAAAATGAAATATATACATGTACATAGTATCTTTCGTTGAAACGGAAAAGCCGGGTTTGTCCCTAATTATAAAGTTCTGTAAAATTAATCAAATAACCAGATCTATTGAAAAGATATCTCGATAAACCAATTAAATTTAATTCTTTGTGGCTCCGGTTTAACGTCATTGTGTGCATGGAAATTTCCAAGTTTCTTTAAAAAACATGGGTTTCGGTTGGGCAAATTCATATGCACATCCTTTTTAATGAAGCGAATCTATTTTATATAAGTAATTCAGAATAAACGAAACGAATATTTTATCGGAAAAATTTTCCCGATAAATCAACAAATTTAAACCAAATTAGGGTACCATTTCCGAATTACGTAGTGTGCATAATAAATATTGTAAATCTACTGTTGTTGAACGTTAACGTTAATATATACGTAAAGATTTTCCATGCAACATAAATTACAAGAATTTTGTGAAGTAGGCGTATCTTCCGTCTGCAAGGAAAGTTATATTACGTAAGAATTTTGTGAAGTATGCGTACGATGGTTTGTCTGCATACTCATCCGTCTGGTAAAGAAAGTCCCCTGTAAGAGATATACAGTAAATGTTTTCCATCGTTCGTTACCGATCACACGCGTATCCAGCACAATGATGTGATTTTTTTATCGAGTACAAAAATTCTGTTTGGTAAACCTTAAAATATTGCAAGTATATAAATGCGAGTTAAATGAATTACGAATAATCATTTTCTAACAAAAAATTCTCGCTTTTTAAATTACACTAATCTCGTTAATAATAATAAAATGGGAAATCTTCCTTTTAAATCACAGAAAGTTTCAAAATTTTCAAAACATACTTTCAAACCATTCCAACCGGATGAAGAAGTCCAAATAGACAGAACACAAATAGCTCATCATTTATACCGGGTGATTTGGGACGGAAATTTTAGTTCACCAGTAAAAGAGAGACTATTAAAAGGAGGCGCTAAAGTGTTAGATATAGGGTAAGTTCCTTTTCTAATAGATTGCGTGATCAAAACAATTACATATATAAACAACTAATCCAAAAATAAAATTTTAACAAAGATGTGGACCAGGTACATGGATATGTGACATGGCAACAGATTTTCCAAAGTCGTCATTTATAGGTGTAGATTATGTACCAACATTTCCTACCCAAAAACCAACCAATGTTCAATTTATTGTCAGTAATATACTAGAAGGATTAGATTTTGAGGATGAAGAATTCGATTTTATTAATATGCGACAAATGGTATTGTGGTTCTCGGAGGAACAATACAAGGAACAAGTGATTCCTGAATTGATACGATTACTTAAGGTTGAGGGATGGTTAGAAATATCAGAGTCGGAGCTTCAAGCACATTTGATAGGTCCCAAATTCAAAGAATGCCAAGCCCAATGCGAGTATTTTTTGATATATATATATATATATATATAAAATCTAGCAAACTAATTATTAATTAAATTTATTGTTTAATAGTTGTCGGTCAAATGGCAAAATATAAACGAAACCCATATGTTCTCTACGAACTCGAGGCTTGTCTAGACCAATTCAGCAACATATCGCGGGACAAACGAGCAATTCCAATCGGTTCAAACGACAAAATAATCGGGCAATATTGTGTAATGTTATGTATTCCGTTAATGTTAGAAATTTTGTCAGAACATGTGTTAAAATTGTCACCGAACAAATACGAGCAAATGATTAGAGAAATAATTGATGAGGTTAATGAATATCATTCGTATTATTATGTACATAGAATATTTGCGCAAAAAAAATCATATGACTTTTTATTACATAATTGACTTTTATTACATAATCAACTTTTGATAAACGGCATAATCACCCAGTACATGTGCAAATAACGATAGTGTGTGTGTATACGTACTACATTGTACCATTTTCACACCACAAAAGCAAATTCATTTCCCGCTACAGCCACCAAAATAAATACAAAAAATGGCTCTCGACTTGACAAACTCGCACATTCAAAACCTTCTTCAACTCTACGAAACCGAAAACTTTTATGACGTGTCAATTATCGTAGGTGAATCGTCCGATGCGACGCAAATGTTTTCTGCTCATGTAGCAATACTGGTGGCACAGTCACCGTATTTCGCAAAAATTCTTGCGGATGTGTGGGCGAAACGAGAGAATGGACGAGTGATTTTTTTGGATAAACCAAAAATTGCTCCTCGAATTTTTGAGATTATATTGAGGTTAAGTTTAAATATATACCCTAAAATATTGTGTTTGTCTGCAATATTTATTTTGCACGTGTGAGAAAATGCATTTATATTGGTATTTCTTTATTTGAAGATTTATGTATACTGGTAAAGTTGACTTGAAGGATTATGGCGTGTTAACAATCTTGGACCTTTTGATTGCTGCGGATGACTTATCACTCAAAGATTTGGTGAAATTCATTCAACTCTATCTTCAAGACACACACGCTGATGCATTGGTCGCCAATTTTTCTCTTGTCAATGAAATAGCGTTTCAGCGTGACTCTTTCAAGATCCTACAAGATTTCTGCATCGATGTAGGGTGCAAAAACCCATTGACATTTTTCAATTCAAACGATTTCACCAATCTCAAGGAATCAGCATTAATCAATCTACTTCAACGTGACGACTTGAATATCGAAGAAATTTTCATTTGGGAGAAAGTAATTGAATGGGGATTCGCACAAATCACTAAACGATTAAATCAGGCGAGTGGTCATCATTTGTTTCAACAACAACAGAAAACAGTCACAGGATTGTCGAAAGAAGATGAATTGAAAGCATTGAAAATAGTTTTAGATCCTTGCTTGCCGTTGATTCGTTTCTTTCATATAAACTCTGTCGATTTTTACAATAAAATAATGCCATATGCTGAAATTCTGCCAGGAACGCTCTACCAAGATTTGCTACATTATTATTTGGTGCCCGGGAGCGAAGAAACACTGGCAAAACAATTTCCCATTAGAAAGTCCTCGTATTCAATAGACTCAACTATGCTATCCGGGAAACAAGCAGCCAAAATAGTGAATTGGATAAAAGATCAAGACCCGAATCAAAAACAACACAAAAACATTGAACTAAATTTGTTATTGAGAGGAACACGCGATGGCTTCAAGAACACGGATTTTCACCAACTGTGTGATGACAAAGGTCCCACCATCGTCACGGTTCGTATTAAAAACTCCGAGAAAATTATCGGTGGATATAATCCGCAGAATTGGCACTCGCTTAATAAAAATCACTCGGGATTGAAAAGTTTCTTGTACAAGTTTGATGTGGATGATAAAGAAGGAAATAACGGAATATTGAGTTCTTATCAAAGAGGGCTTAGTGTGAAATGTCATAAAGCGCATGGACCGATTTTCGGCGATGGAAATGATTTGTCGTTTAATGGTCCGGATTTTCTCGTTAATGCTTCTACTTATTGTAGAAAATCTAATTGTTATGATAAAGGTTTGCTGGGAGCGCAGGATGTTGAAGTTCCATTCACTATTGAGGAATATGAAGTGTTTCAAGTCGTTGGAAACGATAATGTTCCGAGGCAAGTTTATTTCTATTTTCTCTCTTACTACATGTTAAATACATCTAATTATTTTTGTTTTTGACAGACTGTATAAATGAAGTAGTATCGGTATCGATTGTGGTCGTTGATCATTCAATTTCTACCATCATAAGTATATATCTATATATATATATGTATATATATATATATATATATTGATATATCAATATCCATGTAATGAAATATTAAATAAATTCTACAATGTATTTGTTTGCCGGTTGCCCATATCGATATGTGCACACAAGGAGACTAGGCGCCATTAAAAACATCGATCACAAATACGTATCTCGATTTGGCAATAGTACAAATACACGTGAAATTGATAATCTCGTCAAGATAACGTGTAGTAATAGCACATGTGCATTATGTCCGTATACGTACATGTACATGTACTATTTTGGGATCTTGCAATAACAATTTTTACTGTTCCTTCCGGAAGCATCTATGTTCACCCCAGTGTAACCTAAATATATATAAAATTCCAATATGGTTAGTGTGTTTTCGGAAAATTCTACAGTAATAAAGATTAATGTTAAAGTTGG